AGTAAGCCATTTCTGCGAGCATTGAGATTCTTTTTCTCACTTTTTGTTTCACGTCTGGGGTACACAATTTGAGCTGCTTTTTTTTTGAGAATATTATTTTTATGTTAAATGTGTTATAATGATAAATTTGTATGTAATTTAAACTTTCAGATCAATTAGACTAAATTAAAGTATAACTATTTTTTAAAATAAAAACATTTTACGTGAAAACATTTGATGCATTTTTTTTATAAGACGGGTTAGTTTGATCCTGGCGCCCTCCTCCTCCAAAATCAAACGTCATTTGATTTGATCTTTAAATAATGAATCTGTTCTTTTGGATGTCCTGAATATCTGTCCAAGCTGCTTGTTTGTTGCCTACATTGGATATCATTGTGATATGATCAATTATTATTTTAAAAAATATCGATATGAAATTCGGTATTTAATGCTATAGTGAAAAGCAATTTTAATATAAAGAAAAAAAATAATTGTATCTTCAGAACATTGAAATCCGTGTTCGAAGGCATCTTTCAGGATTATTTAAAATTGTGAAAAAATGAAAACGTCACCATGCAGAAAAACGAAAAAAAGAAGTGTCCATGCTGTAAGTAAAATTACTTATGACGACACTAATATAATAAAAGATTTGTAAATACTATAATAATTAGATTTATTCAGTTTTCTCATTACTTATAGGCAGTATATAAATAAATGATAACATATGTGGCTATCTAATTTTTACACCTTGGCCTGGCTTCCTTTCGCCTGATCAATTATTTATGAAGAGTTTTACTAACTGTGTTACCTGAGTCCTCTAATCAGTCTTTACTTGTATTATCTGCTCAAACGCTGTAAATTTGATAGAACATCAGAAACCAGCATAATGTACATTTAAAATTGTAAAAATCTCAAAAGAGACCTTAGTCTCTAAACGATACTATATAGCAGAATGAAAGTTTCGTAAAACTGACTTTTGAAGTTATTAGGGGAAAAAAGCTTTCATTTAGCCTTTTATGAGGTTCTTCTATTAATTGTTTATTTCTTCGTCAGAAATGACCTGGGTAAGACTTATATTTTTAATGAATGCAAATTAATGGACTGGATATAAGCGGGTGGCAATTCCTCATATTATTTGGATTGGATACAAGTAGGTAGCGATTCCTCATATTCTGTACAAATGTTTGTTTTTCAGCCCTTTTTTCCGCCTCAAAACACAAAAGCCAGGGGTTTAAAAATGCCTTGCCCACTGAACTTAAAACGCAGATTGACATTTCCTCTCATTAAAGGCATATAAAAAGATACAATACACATAAAATAAATAAAAACCTATTCTCTTTTTTAAATGGCGGGAACTTTTGAAAGCAAATAAGACACTTTTTCACCATCAATAAAAGAGTATTTAAACATTTTTTTGTAAAAATTCTTACGCACAGGAGCTGTTACAGACAGCAATACCCTCACCTTCAGGAAATTCACCCTGAGCAAAATATCAATAAAAAGATGGATCCACCCTTGACATAGACACTACTTCTGGGTATAAACATGTACACGGTCCTTGTATATTACAAACATTTGTCATATTTTTTAACAAATGGACGAATGAAAGGAAAACTTTTGAAGGTGCATGTAAACGCAGAATGTCCCAATACCCATTTCCAATAACGTCTTTCCCTAAAACTGATGCACCAAACAAATTCATTGTGTATAATAATGATAGAGTCTCCATAACTACTTGACATGTACATGTATTATATTTTCTTTTCTTACACCCGTTATATTTCTTCATCATATGGCCAAGATGTGCAAATTCAGAATTAATATAAATATTTATAAAACAATATAATGAAATCTGTATACATATATCACCAACGTGAGGTGCAAGACATAATTATAACCTACACTTTTACATATTTATTTGGTGACACAAAACAACATATCACTGTGGAATTGAATTTACTTTCTACAAATTAAAGGTTACTAGAATGTTTATGGGTTAAATAATATTTATCAAAAAGGGGGTTTCTACAAATCAATTTAATAAAACAATGAAATCCTGATAAATTTCTCTTCTTTGCCGAAGTACTTGTCATGCATATTTGTTACGCACATATAGGACACGCAAATCTGTCAGTCACCAAAAAATTAAATATGGACCATAACTGTCTCTTAAATCAAAGATTTTGTCCTCTAAGTGCTTATTAGGAAATAGAAAAAAGAAAATGCACTTACAAAATATGAGTCTTGTTCACAAAGAAAAGTTACTCCATCAAATATAGTTCCACAGTAAATCCAGCTAAAATATTTGGCTTGACCTTAAACTGAATTACACAGGTAGAAGTATGACCTTAATAACTGAATCAACGCAGCAGACTTTAATGCAATTAATTTTGTCGTAATTAGTGATAAATCATCGGTGTGAATGAAGATTGTCTTGACCATAGATTTGGTACTTAGTAAGGGACGATCTACTCCTGCTAACATAAGATCAACCCTTGTGATTGGCCCGGTAGATATCGCTTTGGATTGTAACCCAATCTTTGTAGTTGCATTTAATAAGAGATATGTATCTTAACAATGCACTGATTAAAATGTTAAAATCTTGTAGCTTCGGCCGGGCATCAGCTAAAATTTTAAGGAATATTTCTACATATTAAATGCTATTCAGTTATAATTTGCTTGGTTCTTTGCAGAAAATTTAACTTACCATTTTTTTTAAAGATGAACAGTTCCTCTAAAACAATGCAATTTATTTGGTCTACACACAATGAAAGTCAAGTATCCTTGCCAAAAATAGATGCACGTGAAATATTTTTAGTTTGCTTTTAATCCATATTCACCTGTGCGCGTACAATTCCTGTTGAATAAAGGGTCATCCTAAAGTAATGAAATGCAATGCTAAATATTACTCCACCAGTATATTCGAATTAAGTAAAAATTAGGATTTTTGTTTCCTTTTAAATTTCAAGCAATTTAATTACATTATGTACAATAAGCCAAGCGTGGAAATGTGACGTCACACGCGTTTTTTAATTAAGGACCATTTAAATAGCGGGTTAGTAAGGTAAAATAGAGGGCCTTCAGAGTTAAAATAAACCAAAATATTATATTTCATTGAAGTTCTGCCATGCTTATAAAATTAACAAAAGGATTCATATTTGTCCGATACAATCAGTAAAACAAAACAAAGAAAAGGAGGAGTCTGCTTTGTTTTCATTTAGTATTATTGCAAAGTGCATTTCCAATCGTGTGGAAAAATAACTCTTTTTTGGATTTCAATAACTCGTATACTGACCAACTTGTACGCGCTTGTACGGAAATAAAGTTCACATTTATTTTAATGCAAAATCAACACATTGAAATTATCTTTTTTCAAACAAATCAGTCATAGTAGAAAGAAATAAAAATGTGGAATTTTAAGATGTCAAAATACGTATTCATAAAATATCGTTATTTGATTGAAAAATTGCTAATTGTTCGAGTTACCAAGTTCAATTACAATTTATTCACTCAAAACAATTAATGGTACATTGAGGTTCTAAGTATATACATGTACAATATATACAAAAATCAATACACAAGATACACGTAAAATGGCGGAAATACATTCAAATTATAAAGTAACCGACAAAAATAATTATTGAGGACAGACTTGTTCTCTCTTTATGTAGCTGCATAGTTTAATTAATACTTTTGAATCAGCAGCTGACAACAATTCTGAGAATTTGAAAAAAAAAAATTATCTATTACAATATTCACTAGTTATGAACTTTTTTTCTGCATTCTGAAAAATATGACATAACGATATTCAACATTGAAGAATGGTCACGATTTCCTGAACGACTTATCATTTAATCATTAAATCATATTTTAAAAAACAACTCTTTTTCATTTAACTCAATTCGAATACTAGAACCCCTCGAGATATACAATATTTTCTCCCCAGTTTTTGGCCTAAAACAGTAATAATGTTAATTGTTAAGGACATCATGTTCTCTTACAAATAGGAAGCTAATCAGAAATTAATTTTTATTGAATTAATATTATTTGTTAAAATCACTTTGTTGGAGATGACGTACATACACTGTAAAAAAAAATAACTAGTTAATGTCACGAAGAAAACTAGTAGATTCACTGTCCATACAATCACTACCTTAATAGAAGTTTTTATTGGTATATTTACTAGATAAGATTAGTAAATTTAGAATTGATGAGTAACTTTCATAGGTATCTAAGTATCTATACGACCCCCGCTCCACAACTCACTATCTTACCCAGTAAACTGAAAGTTTACTAATCACGACCAACGCTTTACGAAACACACTAGATACAAATGTAAATTATTACAAAAGAAATTGGAGAAAATTTGCATATGAACTTTAATATTAAATAAAACTCAGTGATTTTTTTTATGTTTTAATTGAAGTTCTCGAACATATATTCATTGGGGAGGACGTCTGAAGCATTCAAACCGGACACGTACGTAAAATTTCGGATTTATTGATTACTATTTGATATGCAGGAGCTTCGATAGAATCAACACGTGATACCAAAAGCTCATGTGTAAGCGATAATGTTGTTACAGAAACCACTGGTTTTACTCCACCATACTGTTCCCGATAAGGCTAAACTGGTGCGAGTGATAGAGCATTATTGCTGATTCACAGTAAAACAGTTAGCGATAGGCACAATTGAATTCTCACAACCAAAACATGGTCTTATTGATTTAATGGATCCCTTTATCCAATAAAAAAAAAATCAGGTCATCCCGTAAAAGGAACGTTTGTTGTTTTAACATGATTTTCACTATTGAATATATGCATCTAGCACGTATTGACTATTTGTTGCGTTTTCCCCTGCCCGATCTGTAAGTGAAGTGTATGTTCCTGACGTTGCATAAATGTATAGACCAAAACCAAAGAGTGGACGACGCTCCATACAATGGATTCCGGATATTACTGTCCATGCCATGAAGTCCGGATATTTTACTAATTTTTTTTAATAAATAAATGCATACCAACCTGAACTGTTTGTTGTAATCGTGAAGGAAGGGCATCGATCTGTCAAACAATTACTCGGTCATCTTCAGAATCTGCAAAGACAGAAAAGTTACCAACATTGAATTTGTTTCATTGACAGTTTCTTACAATTTTTGGTGCAACAATTTCGTATCTGATATATAGAAAAAAATCTTTAACATATTAAATGTGCTTATAATAATATGATTTTGTTGGCGTTTGTTCTGCAAAGCTTCAATGATATTGTATAGCTTCAATCTCTGCCTCTCTATACGGATTATTTCCAAGGTAAACAATTTCTGAAATATTGAATGAATGACGAGTTTTTGAATATTAAAATGACTGACAACGACTTCACATTCCAATTAACTCTCAACAGCATGTTGCTCAAATCAGATATCAGATACAAGTGTATATATGTGAACTAAAACAATTGAGATGATTGTAACTTTAGTTGTCTCAGAATCCACTCGACTTGGATAATAAGATATCCTTCATTAATCAAGACATCTGGACTGTCAACTTTCTTATTTAGACTAACGTTTTAATTCAATTTGAGGTTTTCCAAATTGCGGGAGGGCGGTGTTACGTCACGCTATCGTGGTGTGTGGGAATTTATGACATCTCGTCAAATGAATAACGACACCAACCACTCTGGATCTTTCTTTTAATACAGATTGGTTGTATATCATTTGATTGTAATATCACACAGATTTTTGCTATTACATGCTTGTGAATGTTTATCATTATTTTCGATAGAACATATGTTACATGTATTGTGCTTGCCATAGAAAATTAACACGGACCCGAGATAAGCTCAAAGTCCATTGAAAAAAGGAACTGGGAGCAGAGTTAACAGGGACCTTTTAAAACATTACGGTTGGATAAGGTGCCATGGAGTAGTAAGCATACCCTCTCGACCGGCCACACCTGCCGTGTGATCCTTATTGTACAAACGGAAAATTCCTAGACATCTTATAGTGTGTGAATAATGGCTCTATCAAAAAATGCTCAGTACATCAAAGTTTACAATAAAAATTTTAAAAAGAAATTATCATTATATGGAGAAAACAAACAGCAGTCAAGCTCAAAAGTCCATAAAAGTAAGAGTGTGTTTAACACAAAGATCAAAATAAGTTTTTTTTAAATTGCTTGATCAGACCTAAACTAGCATTTACAAGAATCAGATCTAACATTATGCAGCAGTGTTAGCAAGATGCACAAATCAACATGAACTAAAAAGTGGGAGTTAATCAGGACTGATATAAATTTTAACAAAAAGCTTCTCTCGTCGGGAAATGAAAAGTGATATAAATGGCCAATGTTTATTGTTGTTTGTCTGGAAATAGAATCGAGCCATCTTGTTATACGCCAATATGTTCTGCAGTTTTCTCTGTAGGGAAAATCCTTTTACGACAATTCTCGTATTTGGCACTGCTTTTTCTCTGGGGTATATTCAAGCAGTTTATTTTATGTTTTATTTCCCAAAAATATTGTTCTTCAAAAAATTATGTGAAGTACATGCATGTTGATTAAATCATTATAGTTAACAACACAGTCTCTTTAAGTTTCTACCTATGATGACAATGTAATACCTACAGTGTAGTATCAAATTCCAGAGTTACCTTCACTATATGAATCAAACTATTAAACAATTTTTAAATACAGCTTTGGTTCATCGTTTTGATGCGATTACAAATGATTTTCTAAATTGAAAGGTAATAGTTAACAAATTTTTGCTTCATTGTGTAATTTTATTTGATTTCCAAAGAGCATTTCATCTTGAAATATTTCTCTTTCTTGGGAAAAAATGGCGTTAAAAAATCAAAGTCCATCCATTATTGGCAGTTGTGAATAATTCAGAAGAATGTGTTCCGATATTTCGTGATAAGATGCTACAAGTCGGATAATTCCGACTTAGGTCCCGTTATCGACAGTGATTCTGAACACATCCAGATCTGGAAGAGTTAGCCGATGTAGACTTTGCAGCCAATATACTGTCTCAGCAGGCAAGCACGTGCTCTGGTTGCCCGCCTTTTCTCTTCTCGGTATTGTCCAGTGCATGCAACATTCCCATTCATTACGTCGTTATCGTTACAAACTATTCCACAGAAGTTGGCACATGTTCTCTAGGCATCGATTGCCATACAGAGCATATATGTATACTCTCCTGTTAGAAAAGCAGAATAAATTGACAGAAAAGTAAAACAGAATAAATTGACAGAAAAGTCGGCTTTCTCTAAAACTGCACCCAAGTTAACATTTTCCTATTATTTAAAAAAAAAATCTTTCCATAGATCCTATTTTAATGGTTCTCAGGTATCATTTTTTTTTTCTGCATCCAAGAGTTAAACATGTATGCAATGATGAAAAAAAAATTACATAAAAAGGTATAAAAGATGATTTAAAAAAAAACTGTATCTATTATAATTTTTTTAAAATTGATTGTTTTTCAACAATTTTAATTTATCAGAAAACTTAACTGATATGAGATTAAATTAGTTGATTTCTGGAGTGCTGATACTTGTACACATATTTGCGACTCCTAAATACGAAAATCAATAGGTTTTAATAATTATTCAATTCTCCTGGGTGACATGAGCGAGGTTCAGATCACGTGATCTTTTCCCCAGACCGCCATATTGTATCTTGTTTCTATAACTCGATTGGACATATCGTGCAATACTAAGACAAAAGCTCCTTAATAAGTGTTGATCGGGTAAAAAGGCCTGCATTATGTATGGAGATTTACAGGAAATTTTGGCTTCAACACAGAAGCTTGAAATCATAATACATAAGGGGAACTTTCAGCTTTTCAATTTGAATAATTTAATATATAAAATGGATTCTAAAACTGCATATTCTTCGAAAATCCTGACTGCGAAAAGCAATGCCATTGTTATCTAAATTAATCAAAATAATAATATCTGGAGATACTCTTATTGTTTTTTCATGGTTGTATAAAATTTACGAAATACACTTTAAACAGTTGGCGAATCACAAATAACATATTAATGAATCAATTTCAATAAAACGTATTAATTATCCCCTCGAGATGGGATACTAGGGGGAGCCTGAGTTCTCATTGATTTTCGTTGGGACTCAGATCACTGTCCAACAACCCCTTGATGTATATAGTGGTGTACATGAAAACAATACTCTAATTATGTACTTAGACCATTACAACCACTAGACTGTACAAAAAGCTATGAAACAAGACATCCGCACATGCGCAGAACAATATTTCGATTCGAGCAGAAGTTCCAATCTGTTGGAGCTTTTTTCTGTAGAGGGTTAACAGATGAGAAAAAATAAGTTTACAGCAAAACAAACGAGAAGTGGAGAAAGCAATCCAATTTAGCCATTATTCCCAGCACTTGTTGGCTTACATGACACCTTTCCCCCACTATAACCGTCATCCTTCGAGCATTACACGTAATGTATAATGTGTAGGTGGACCGCCGTTCTTCTAGATTAGGTCTCAAATTTATGGCTTAACGCTCGTAGGAAAATCAATAGCGTTGTTCATGACCAATTTCATAAAATTATTAAAGCATATAAGTCCAACCTACATCTTCTACGATGTCACAATAAAATTAATAATAATCTTACGGGCCAGTTATTTCATAGGTATTTGTGGGTAATCTAATGGGTAAATTTCGAAGAAAGCTGCGCATAATTCAGTCTAAAAGAAAAGAAAATTAGTAATATGTTAAAAATTCAATGAAAATTGAAAAGAAAAAGTAGATAAAAGTAGATAAGTAGTAAAAGAAATCAAGGATAATTGCTAGTTAACTTATAAAAATTCATTGCAGGCAGATGTCCATACGATGAAATAGCCATCGTCAGAACAGATATACTGTTTATGTCAGATAGACATGTCCGATTCTGTATTGAATTCGTTACTTTTATGTCGCCTGCAGAGCAACACTTAGCAATCACTTTACACAACATCTCTATCTGTCTGCCTGTTCGTTCATCCGTCTGTCACACCCTATGTCTTGATACTGCAGGTCGCAATAATTTCATATTTTGCAAGTATTTTGGTTTGTTTTTAAGCTTGACTAACACTTTTTAAAATAGTTTACAGTTTCGATATTCAACAGATGTACATTTTTGATTGATTGATTGTTGTTTAACGTCCCTCTGAAGAATTTTTCACTCCTCTGGACACTTGCCGCTGGAAAACTACAAATGTTGTCCTAAACTCGGCACTCAGGGCCATTGAGCAGTGAGGTATCTTCGTGCCAGCACCTACTGCGACACGCGAACAGGACCTCTGTTTATACGGTCCCAACCTGTCTCCAAGTCCCACAGTGTTATTTGAACCCACGACGTATAAGATAGACTCTTTACTTAACGACTCTAGAGCAGACGCTCTAGCCACTGCGGCACAGAAGCGACCAACGTATTTTTGTAAAACATTATAAACCAGAAGCCTCTGGTGATACTGAAGCTCTACTGGTTTGACCGCATATTAAAAGGAAGAGAATGTGGTGCTTGACCCTGAAACTTTGCAACAGCAAAATCTTATCTTTATGTAGTCTGTTGGTATGCCAAGTAAAGAAATCAAACCAAAACTGTAGGAGGAGTAGCGGTTTTCAAGTATTTCACAGTTATTTCTATTTTAGTAACCATGACAATACCGTTCATAAAAATTAAAAGAAAAACCGATGCATTGGTGTACTCTACTTCGATTCTGTGTCAAAATATAAAATCAGACCAATCTGTAGGAGGAGGGTTGTTTTAAAATCAAGAAATTTCTAGTTTTAGATACCATGGCAACACCGTTCATCAAAATGAAGTTCCGATGCATTAAATCATATTCCAGTGTACTCTACTTGTGTGCCAAGTTATATTGAAATCAAGATTTAACTGTAGGAGTATCATTTGAAAAGCATTTCAAGAAATTCTATTTTAAGTAATATTACATCACCGCTTGTCAAAAATCGATGCACGAATATGTACTTTAGTTTAGTGTATTTATAATGAAATCGGAGTAAAATTGAAGGAGGAATGACATTTTAAAAGAACTTCATCTTACTTTGCATAAGCTCTGACCAGTAGAGCTAAT